TGTGGCTTGACATCTGACTGATTGCCTCACACAAAAAAAAACTCCAAATAAAATAACAAAATGAAGCTGATACACCTTGATAAGAGCTCTATTCAGCCATTGTGAAATAGGCCTGAATGAAGCTTTGGCCATTATATCAACCACGCATAGCAATGTGAATGAACACACACACACAAACACACATACACACACTTTTTAAATGAATCTCATGCACCAAGCTGTGGAATTGTGTTGGAAGGTAGATTATTCACGGAGAATCGACTACAATTTCACGGCTTTCTGGAAATAATTAGCGTGACATTTATTCAAGCTTTATAATTGGTTAAGACTCCAGACCCTCACCTCTAATGAAGTTGTCATTGAACCTTTAATGCTGCTGGCTCCCATGACAGCAGGGGGATATTGCAGCCTGGTGCAGGGCGGTCAAATCATTTGGAAGAGTATAATGCAGTGAGGTTTATGGTGTGTGTGCGTGCGTGCGTGTGCGTGCGCGTGCGTGCGTGGCAAGTAGTTAAAGTGCAAAATGCAGTCCATTCTTCGTCCAAGCCCTAATGCAACCTGCCCATCATGTGATGATGAGACAATTTCTCAAGGTTTTTTAAAGAGGCCTCTCTGATGTTTCAGTCTATATAAAAAGAATACAGGACTTTTACTTAGAAGTTGTTTGAAACCAGTCATCTTGTCCTATTCCTCATCACTTTTCATCTCCTTTCCACTTTTCTCAGTTCTCTTCGTCACTCCCTTTCAATTTCGTGTCTTGAGTCCTCATCCTCACTGCTTCTGCCTTTCTCAACTCTCCCTTCTATCTTTGCTTTCTGGATTATCCTTTCCCTTGAAGAAGAGCTATTATTAGTTTATTCACTCCTCTCTCTGCTTTTCCTCCTTCACCTCAGTTTTTCACCTGTGCTTGTGGAATAGTTGGCCGCTGTCTTCATCCCTAGAGTCTTCGCATCTCTCTGTCCATTAGGAAACAGACTACAGTGTGTTTTTGTTGCACTAAAACACAATGATTACTCTTTACGCTGTTTCCCGTTCTGTTGCACTCTTTTTTTTGAACATACACACACAGACTGCACTCACTTACCTCCCTAAATGTTGCACAGGTTTCTTACTTCACTGCGGTAGGTGAGTGGTTTCACCAAAATTTGATGGAAGTAACTGAAGGCGTGTTGTAGTTGGAAAACTGCTAAAGAGTCTAATTACCATGAATGGGTCTGAACAGTTGAATGTACCTCAAGAGGTTTGAATGTAGATTCCAACTGAATGATAGGATATAAGATGACAAAGTGTAAAAAGGAGTTTGAATAATTGGAAAACAGCAAAAGGATCAATAATGTTAAATGAAGTGTAATCTCAGAGATGCATTGCTAATGACTGTGAGCTCAGCTAAACTGCTGGATTTAATTTGCATTAGTAAATTTGTATTTAGTTTAAATCTTAAAAAATACTTGAAAAGTGTCTGTCTTTCTTTCCGTCCGTCCGTCTTTCTTTCTGTCTATCTGTCTCTGTGTCTTTCTGTCTGTTTCTCATTCTCTCTGCCTGTATGTCTGCCTGTCTCTCTGTCAAACTGGGTTAATTAGCTCGTCTCAATCAGCTGTGTGTTGCCAACTGCAGTTAAGCGTCGCCATGGTGATAGGACTGCTGTGTCTCCTGTGTTTAACAGGCTTCATTTAATAGAGATTTTAGCTTCGTTTCCATTCAGTACACACTAATGGAAAAGTCTTAGAAGAGCTGAAATGTTCATGAATTTCGATCTGAGATTGTGTCAAAAATATGAAAGGTATGAAAAAGATGCCAAGAGGTCCTGCTTGTCATGAACAATTTAAAGTCTGATTGGAGTTTCTATGTCAATGTATGAATTTGTTTAGTGGGGATTTGAAAAGTGAAATGACAGCTAAAATTTCTCAAATATGTAGAATATTTGAGAGTTTGAATGGACTTCCTAGCTGAAAGTATGAATGAGTAGTTGAAATTTCATGAAAAACTGGGAATTCTCCATATTAATAATAATAAAGAAATGTGTATAGAAAAAAATATGGTTGTGAATGCTGAGTCAGTGATTCAGTTGTCAGTCTGCTACAGTTGCCTTACTAACTGGGGACTCTGCCTCTTGGTGCGATTAGTCTAAAGACGATTAGTCTAAAGACATATATATCAGGTCCTCATACTGCAGTCCTTTTAATTCATAGCTGTTTATGCTCATGCTATAGTACAATTGGGGAACTATGAAGAATGTGTACTTTCAGAGCAACTCTATACAAAAACAGTATGTATGTAAGAAGAGACAACATTGTGTGGACTGTCTGAAGGCAGACATTTAATAATAGTAATAGTGATATAAACTAATACTTAACAAACTCATTTTTTTCTTTAATGCATTTTTTTCCTTTGTGCGTTTGTCTCTACAACAGGAAGGAAAGCATCCCAGCTGCTCCCAACTTGCCAAATGTTCAGTATTGACAAGACCAAAAGAATCACAAATGCTTTTGTACCTACATCAGTCACAATGCTTAATAATGAATCATCAAATATCCTCATTCACTGTTTGTTTCAGAACAAAAAACTAAATGTTTATTTGATATTGCCTACATGACAAATATATTTGTGTTTATCTATGGAGCCAGAATGGTGACTTTAAAATTTGGCATCCAAAAAAAAAATGTGGCATTGAAAACAAAACCAGTAGGGGAGAGTGGGGTAAGTTGAGCCAAAGGGTAAGTTGAGCCACCCCTTGTTGCTAGGAAAGGGTAAAAAACATTGATCATGTGACCAAATATTTAGGAGGAAGGCATCATTTCATGGAGTCTGTGAATGTAAGAACCACATGGGTAAAGTGGTTGGATATTTATTTCCAAAAAATCATTTTTCACTCTTGAAAGTGAATTTAGTCTATCATAAATTTCATGAGAATTGTGTTTAGACCAAAATATATAATTTTAAATTAGTTTTATACATCAATTGTGGTATCTATGAACTACAACATGAGCTCATAAACCTAGCATAAAAGTGCACCATTTTAGCTGTGGGGACTAATAAAGTCAAAATGGTAGCTCTGGGGTAAGGTGAGCCATTTGGCCAGGGGTAAGTTGAGCCGGTGGCTACAGCCAAAATACACTTAATAAGTGTATCCAAAAACATATTCTGTGTATATTCCAAAAACACAGCTCTCTTCCCAAGCGCACTTTAAGGCATTCTCACTTGTTTTCTTCTAAGCGCACTTTAAGGCATTCTCATGTTAAAATGTTTTTTCACAAAACAGCTGTTTAGCAGTAATATGCAATAATAATAAAAAAAAAAGTTATTGTACCTGTTACAAATAAATAAAATACACATGAATGTGAAGAAGTGAGTGTTATTTAGGGAGGGAGAAGGTGAGGGAGTGGTGGGGTGGAGGTGGGGAGGAGGGTAGGGGGTGAGTAGGGATACGGCTCAACTTACCCCGCTCCTATGCTCAACTTACCCCATGAGCCACGAGACCATTTTTTGGACAAGCTATATTATCGAAACAGTTATGTTTACACTCATTCTGCTTGTTTGAAGGGACGCACAACATCCTGAAATATATGCAGATATATTAGTTAGCAACAAAACTATGATTGCCTTGATGTAGTGATCCTAAATATGAAAAATGGCTCATCTTACCCCACTCTCCCCTACTAAAAAAAGGAAACATTGGCATTGAAACATTTATATTGAAAACAGTTGTATAGGCATTGAAACAAGTATTGGCACTGAAAAAAGAAACTAATTAAAATAATTAAAATCTTAAAATCTTACTATTTTATTTTATTGGGATTTTTTTGTATTTTTCAATGACAATCTTCAGACTTTAGCAATGCCACCATGCCGGAGGCTTCAGAGCGGACGACGGGTTCCGGAAAAGAGACGTACTTCTTCAGTGGGGCGGACTGGGACAATAATTCAGCCCAAGAATTTGATACCATCCCAGGCCACCACCACCCAATTAACGCAAAACACCAAGAGTGAGTTAGGTTGGGCGCCTACTGATGTAAGAGTGTAAAATAATAAAGCAAAGGCTCCACATGCGCCCACACACAGCTATTTCTGTTTCTTTCCCCTACAAAATAAATGTTTCTGTTCACTAATTGACCATTTTTATATGCATTGGCTATGTTCATATAACAACAAATATGTTCTTAATCTCAATGGGATTTTACCGGGTTAAATAAAGGTTAAATGAAATAATATAATACAAGGATTTCAATATTCATATAATTTATTATGTTGTGTCTATGTTAGTTACACGCAACTTTGTGTGTGTGTGTATGTGTGCCTGCAGTGCTGTGACAGAGAGCCTCAGAAAAAGAGAGGAGGGGGTGTGTCTGTGCCCAACGTTGCTGCTCAGTCTGTGAGCTTCAGCAAGGCAGATACCCTAATGAGCCCCACGACGGATTGTTTATTTCAAAATCAAGCGCGACCCAAACCGAACATTTGGTCCCGACCATCGGCAATCGCTGAGCGGGCCAGTTCGGCGGCCAGGCCACCAGGAAATGTCCCGGTGCTCCCGATGGCCAGTCCGCCACTGAGTCTGCCGATATGCAAATTATATGCAAACCACGCTTTACTTGCCCCTCCCCTCAACGCCCAAACAGTGACAGAAAGTTGAAACTGAAAATCAGTGACACTGAAAAAAAAGTGACAAGAAGAAAAAATCTGAAGATTGTCATTGAAAAATACAAAAAAATCCCAATAAAATAAAATAGTAAGATTTTAATTATTTTAATTAGTTTCTTTTTTCAGTGCCAATACTTGTTTCAATGCCAATACAACTGTTTTCAATACAAATGTTTCAATGCCAATGTTTCCTTTTTCAGTACTGGTTTTGTTTTCAATGCCAATTTTTTTTTTTTGGATGCCAAATTTTAAAGTCCCCGTTCTGGCTCCATATTTATCTACTTTCACTTGATCTTGACTTCAACAGAATGTCTATAGCCTATGTTGATACAAAAGGTGTGTGTGCGTCTGTGTGTCTGTCTCAGGTGGCTGTGACATTTGCGGTGGGGTCTGAGGTTGGCCTTCAGAGCAGCAGTGACTTCAGTCAGATGGGGAAACCTTTCCTAATGGGAACAGTGGCTCTGGGTGAGAACCAGCTATGTACAGTATTGCTCACTGTCTTTCTATTTGTCATCAATAGAAATAGACATCATTTCACCTTTCTGGGCCTCTGAATGTCTTTCTTTATTCCTGTCCATGCTCCCTCTTCTACCATCCTTTCTTTTTTCAAGCCAAGAATAATAATGGAAGATATTCCCCCACGCACCAGCCACCTGTAATTAGTGTTGCTAACCAGATTTGGAAAACTAAGATGTGCCAAGTTCACAACAAAGTGCCCAAAATGTGCTGCTCCATTAGAAAATACAAAGATGGAGAAGCTCATTTGCTCAAGACTGAGGATCAGCTTTGTGGTCGTATCATCAGATCTGCAACCATATGTCTAGGACAGTCGGGTGAAGCCAACTGATCCAAGAAAAGGACTTTCAGTTGGCCTCAAGGAAGGAAGGGAAAGCGGGGCTCGGCTCCGGCAGTGATCAGCAGAGCAGGTGAACTGCTGACACTGACTGGGGATTTTGTCAAGCGATGGAAAGGGCAATCTGAGTAACTCCTGAACCCAACCAGTACGTGTCTTCCGTGGATGAGACAGAAGTGTTATTGAGATTCACCTTAAGATGCTGAGGGCTCTAGACATTGTTGGGCTCTCTTGGCTAACATGTCCCTTGAATGTCGCAGACAATGTGGAATGGCATACAAGGGTAGTGGTTAAAATAATGGATCTGGGAGGTGTGCTCCAATTGTCAGGGTATCGCACTGCTCAGCATTTTTGGTAAATCATATGCCAGTGTACAGGCAACGACCAAACTTCCGATCCTTTGTCATTTGAGATGTTAATTGTTGATCATAAATGCCCATCCAGGGGTCCTTAGGCCATTGCTTTGAGCCATCTGGTCCTTAAATAATTGAATAACTGGAGTGAGAGCTGTGTCACTGACTCTGTGATTTTCATGGATAGGAGGGTAGACAGGGGTAGGCGACAGTCTATTTGGGGACCTCTGAATTGCTTTTCAGCTCTTTACAGATGATGTGATTCTGTGGACTGAACCGCGATCTTCAGCACACACACGGTTTGCAGTCATCTCCAAGACTCCATGATCCTCTGCTGGAAAATGGTGGATTACTCCCTCCAGGTTGAGTATGAGTTGCTGCCCCATGTTTAAGTACCTCAGGATCTTGTTCTTGAGTGAGGGTAAAATGGAGCATGAGATCAACAGACAGATTGGTGCGGCATTGGCACTGATGTGGGTGGTGAAGAGTGAGCTCAGCTGGAAGGTCAAAGCTTTCGATTTACAACTCGATCTACGTACCAGTGTGTGTATATCCATCACTCCCATCTTTGGGGCCAAGGACACCCACACAAAATCCACACCAGAGGGAAACTATTTCCATCGACAACTCTGGTAATATTGGCAACAAAATGAGGCACCAGAATCTGTGTTGTGATTTGGTCCAGTAGATGCTGGTCGTATAGGAAGGTATAGGTTTTGGTACCCAAACCTAGTCACCTCGACCCAGCCCTGGATAAGCAGCAAATAGATGGATGGACCATCAGCATGCACTTTGACTTTTGAATACACTTCTACACATTAGCTGTTGCAGCATAACAGGTTGTTGCTCTGTTTCATGAGTGTTTCTGTGGCAGCACTGACTGTACTTCTACCAGCATTACCAGAAGTTGTATCATTACTTCAGAGGACCATTTGAACATGCAAGCTGCTTTGTAGTCATGGCTAGTTGTGTGGAACAGTATATGGAACAACTTCAATCATTTTATTTAGATGAGTTTACCTCAGAATTGTATTCTGTTCAGGATTTGAAAGTCTCTCAAACACTATTCAGGCTCTGACGGGACTGGGCTTATTCACTGAAATCCAGACTAGTACAATGCTTTTAGGTCAGCTCTATCAAGCAAAGAAGGACAGATTTCACTGCAGCTTATATAGCTGATCAGTAAAAAGTCAAAAAGTAGAACAATAACAGAAATGGCAGACCGTGAACAATGGAGGAAAGTCTAATTTATACTGATATGTATCAGTATAGATCACACAAACTATCAAGAAGTATTTTTGGTATCTGTAGATTTCCATGATGAAAAGTTTACATGTCAATATGTATATGTTAATGTTGGACAATATGGCCTAAAATCTGTATTCTATGTGTCTTCAGTTTCATAATGGTAAACTCCATTATGATTTCTCTCTTATGTTAGAGATCAATAATGCCAGTAATTTCATGCATTTGATTTATTCTGCAGCCGTACTAAGGTACCTGTAATATGATATAATCTTTCAAGCATGATATTGCTAGAAATGTGTTTAAATCATGTTAAAAAGAAGCCCACAGGTAGACATACTATATGAATAAAGATTGCAAAAACATTTTTGATAAAGTTTTGTCTCCATGCAATAAAGAAAACATGGCAAATAACACACACTCTGTAAGACTGACCTGCCATTGTGTTTTTGTGTCGACAGGGGGGATAGTAAACGTGATGCCTCTGCTCTTCTCGCAGATCTCTCACAACAAAACACAGGTAAATCTGGTCCTCTACTATACCCTGCACTGCAAGTATGCATTTCTGCTGCTGCAAATGTCATACTCTAACATACTCTGAAACACTACAGAAGGTATCATCATCTCTGATATAATTTGTATGTTTTAGAGTAATTGTCTCCAAAGTGTCTTTGAAGATACATTAAATTGCTTTTGCATTACATTTAGAGATTTTGAATAAAACTGTCACTGACACTCAATAATTCTCTTCAGTATTGTATGCTTTATGTGATGATCTGATAATTCAGCATTATTGTCAAGCTTCACATTTCTAGTACTGCAATTATATAATCATGTTGTCTTATTGTTTTACAAACTTCTGCTTGAGCAGGACGTTGGTCCCCATGTACTTTATTTTCTTTGTGTCCAGATCCTGTGGTTTCGGAGAGCAGTGCTTGGAGGTCTGACAACCTGCACTGTGCTCAACATCCTCTGGTAAGCACATCATTCTCTTACTGTTCTGCTCTTGAACTCCTTTATTAATAAACCTCCAGACAATAAATAGTTGTTAGCTTAAATTCTCTTTTGTAGCCATGTTCTGTTGCACGAAAGAAACATGTCTGATTGTATTGTCCTAAATGAAAAAACCCATCATGACAGAAAATTCAGGCCAAGGCCAAATATAAAGAAAACATTATTTTACACAAAATACCATGTACCAGTTTTTCTGAATCTAGTCCTGAACCTTGGCAGACCTTTTTCCCCGGGAGAGCATCTGGTGTATTGTCTCCCGGGGGGAGCACAACAGCTTTTTCCTGTGATTGACCGACACAATGTCTCCACAGGGCAGAGGGTCAAGGATTGTGGAGGCAGGTAATCGGGGGGGCTTTGTTTAGGCACAGTAATCATTAGGTTTAAGCTTCCATATGTTCCATCAATCATAAGGAGGTTGTTTACTGTGTGGAAGTTATTATATATATATATATATATATATATATATATATGATTCTACAATTATTAAGAGTTCATTGTGCAATGTAATAGTAGAGATAACAAAAGGCTGCTTTATGTATAGCAGATGTGAAACTGCTTGGTTAAGATAAAGGCTACCTACAAAGTGCGACTGGATTGAAAAGGTACCTTTTAGGCCAGATGTGGAAATTCAGAAAATTCAGCTTTTAAAATGTGATAGACCGTGATTGACGTTGAGCAGCGTGGTCAGAAGATCTGCCGGACCATCTGGAAGACAGAGACATTGACTTTGGCAGGACCCTCTAAGACTTTCAGCAGAGGTTTGAGGACAGCAGGCAGTAATGGCAGCCAGGATGGTATAGCAAATCTGGTCCAGAGAGAAAGGAGGCCATCTGGCGTAACAGCCAGCGACACAGGACTCCTGATGCACCAGAGGGACCATCCACAATCTCTTGAATCCTGTTTTGCAACTGAAGAGCCTAAGACAGGTGCCTTTGGCTGGGGGGGGTGTAAATATGGTTAGCAATCCTAGTGTGGCTATATGAACATAACAAATGTCATAATGACGCTGATTCTGTTATTTTGTTTGCGGGTGTATGTCATAGGATATATGTGTGTGCGTGCATAGTCTTTAGCTGCTTCATTTACATTAGGTAAACTAGCTGCATATGGTGTTTTATTGACAAAGAGAAATTAATCATACACAAGACACTTTCATATTTTCTTCCATTGTACACACACACTTCTAGCAGCAGAGAGTATTCATAGAAAACATTTTGCTTTATTGGTGGATATTTGGCTATGCATGTGTTTGTCTCAACCAGTGAGAAAGAGCAGGTTTCATTAGAGAGAAAGGAACAAATTTTGGGGACACTCCTGAGTCAATTTAGTAACCATGGGGAGTTCTACTCAGCCTGTGAAAACAGTTGTTTAATGTCCTTGAGAAGCTTTGTCAAGTTGGAGAGAATTACTCAGGAATCTCAGCTTGGGCTTGGAGACAACAAACCGCTTAATGGAGAGCCTGCATTACCTGCTCCACATAAGGAGTTTAAACAACAGCATAATGTACCAGGCAGGCAAGGTTTTCAGAAAATATGCTACCTAGTTGAATTATGCGAAGTGTAGGACATGGTTTCTCAACTGATGGGTTGCAACCCACTTTTGGGTCGCGGACTCATTCTGAATAGGTCTTAAGTGGCTATGTATTTTATATACTTAACTATCTGATATTAAAAAAAGGCCATGATGATATTGTATACGTTAACTGGTCTATTTGAATAATACATTTGCTTCTATCAAATGGGTCACGACCTAATGACCATGGGAAAATGTGGGTCCCAAGGTGAGACCAGTAGAGAGCCACTGGTGTAGGATACAGTGGGTTTCATGTAAGAACATTTTCGTATTCTGATCTTAACTTTCTCTGACTTCTTTTTGTTTGGTGGGCTTGTTCGAGTGTGCCACGTGAGATTCAGCAAACACTCCTAACTTCAGATTTCTGTGTAAATCACCTGCATAAAAATGATGAATGCTACCTGTGCGCAAGTTTAAACCTTCATAACTAATGCCCCAATAATAAGGCTACGCCGCCTGCCCCATGTGTGAGATCAACAAAGGAAAGTCTATTTTTGACAGTGTCAGCAGTGGTATTAGAGGACCTTCTTAAGCTAAGGAGTGGGACAAAATAATGAATGCTGTTCACTTTTTTCCCGGAGTTCTTGTGCTTTCTCGTCTCGCAGGTTCTCATGGATCCTGGTAATATCTCCTGCCATGGTCCTGCTTGACTGCCATTACTAATATCACTGATATTATTATTACTATTATTATTACTACAGTTACTATAATCCCTGCTCATTGTCCCCCATCATTGTTGTCGTCGTCGTCATCTTCTTCATGTTCATGTTCATCATCATTATCATCATCAATCACTACTATTAGTGTAGTTGTTGCTACTGTTGTTGCTGTGCACTCTCTCTCTCTCTCTCTCTCTCTCTCTCTCTCTCTCTCTCTCTCTCTCTCTCTAACCCCAACTGAACTGGTCGAGGCAGACGACCACCCACCTAGAGCCGGGGTCTGTCCTAGGTTTCTGCCTCTTAAAAGGATGTTTTTCCTTGTCGCCGTCGCCAAGTGCTTGCTCATGGTGGGAACTGTTGGGTCTCTGTGAATAATTTTATAAGGAGTTCGGTCTAGACCTACTCTATTTTGAAAAGTTGTTATGATTTGGCGCTATACAAATAAAATTGAAGGGATGGAAGGGTGTCAATGGGAAGTCTCCAATACGGAGATAGATGAACGAATACGTGCTGTAATAGGTGATGTTGCATTGTCAGGCATTGCAAGACAACCCTAATCCCATCAATTGCCAATTCAAATAAATGAAGATATTGATAGACTATATGTGACCTGCTCCATCATTTTGAGTCACTTTGACCCAGAAACACATTTTGAGTTTTCTTCATGGCTGTAAACAAGCTTTATGGCGATACCAAACACACTCACTTTCTTCGCCATCACAATTGGAGCCGGCCGGTGTCAGTGGCGCAAAATCTGAGTCAGACTCAGAGGTCGAGCCGCCGCTGTCACTCTCACTCTCAGCTGCCGGTGCGGTGAAAAAGTCCGTAATAAGGTCGATCCAGTTGTCGTCTGAAGTAGCATGTCTTACAGGAATTGAATTTAAAAGTCGAGCAATGTCGTCATCGCGAAAATTCATTTTGTCTAGGCTGTCAATCTGTCAATCTGTCTCCGCGTCCGTGTCTATCTAAACTGACAGTTGACAGATGACGCAGATGACACAAACACGCTAGCCGGTGTTTTGAAATCTGACACCTGTTTCGTTTTATTTAAAATTGTATTTTCTTGTAAAAACGTGTTTCTACACAAACGGGCCGCTGCGACATCCGACTCATTCTGATGGAACGCGTCACATATGATTAATTTATAAATAGGCTATATTATAATTTGAAATGTACTGTCAAACAAGATGTCAGCGTATTTATGAGTGTCATTTACACCGATCCGCCATAACATTATGAGCACTGACAGGTGAAGTGAATAACACTGATTATCTGGTTGTCATGGTTCCTGTCAGTGGGTGGGTTATATTAGGCAGTAAGTGAACTTTTTGTCCTCAAAGTTGATGTGTTAGAAGCAGGAAAAATGGGCAGCGTGAGGATTTGAGCAACTGCAGCTCTTGTGGAGTGTTCCCGGTCTGCAGAGGTCAGTACCTATCACAAGTGCTCCAAGGAAGGAAAGAACCAGAGACAGGGTCATGGGGGGCCAAGGCTCATTGATGCACGTGGGGAGTGAAGGCTGGCCCGTGTGGTCCGATCCAACAGACGAGCTACTGTAGCTCAAACTGCTGAAACAGGTAATGCTGGTTCTGATAGAAAGGTGTCAGAACACACAGTGTATCACAGTCTGTTGGTATGGGGCTGCAGAACATTCTGACCACCAGGGTGCTCAGGTGGTCATAATGTTATGGCTGATCGGTGTAAATAGGAAACTCAAAATTGCTTTATAGTAATGCAATATACATTCCTTTTGTGAAAATTATGTGTTTGGATAATAGCAGACTAATTTCCTAAAGTTCTCCTATATCAGTCGTACAAGCCACTTCTTGCATGAGGCCCATTGTTTTTGAAGTTTTACTCCAACTAGGCACTACTGGAAAATTCAGGATATCTCAGCTGCTTGATTTTTACAATTCTTTGTCTCAGACAAGGTTCATAACTTAAGTACATTTACTAAATTGTTGGGCTATTCCTTTATAACCTCCCTTCCTTTACATTGCTTTATCATATCACTTTTTACAATTTTTCTTCCACCACTATACTGATAATGCTCATCAATAAACATATTTTTGATCCTCTGACACTTTAAGTACATATGCTACCCCAGCCTAAGCAAGACTGACACCACACTAAACTTTGTCCAATCTACTAGGACTCCACCACACAACAATAGCTTTTGTGTGGACCAACACTGCAATTTTAATCCAAATGCTGCAGGTATATATGAGGTATATATGCAATATCCAGTCATTTCTGTCTCGGTTCAGATCTGCACCCTCTCTGACCATTATGCTTTGCACCTTGTTTTTATCTATTCTATTGATTTTTGAAAATCAATGAGAACAATTTTGATGTTACCAAAATGCCAGAATGTTAAAATATAAAAATAAAACAGGCAAGCACAATTTAAACTCAAGAAAATGCTCTGTTGCAGTGCTGCATGAGATAGTCTTTCCACACCCATGACAAATTTCACTGAGCTGTACCCAGCAATTGGCTGTATCTGACCTTTGGTGTACTTTACTGATCAGCTTCTGGCAAAACAACTTACTGCAGCTCCACACAATAAGTCTCTCTCCTCTGGGATACTTCTCTGAGATTTATGAGCTTCAGGCTGCATTTTCTTCTTTTGTGTCCAACCTACACACCAGATTCTGAAAGCAGTGTTCCGTGGCAAAATAGTGCTCTATAATGGCAAGTTTTTACACAGGGGAGCTCCGTTTATCGATTCAC